CTGTAGTGAATTATTGTGAATGACAATTTGCAGGTCATCAAAAAAAAATTTTCATTTTCCATTTATATACTTTCATTTGCCTGTTTTAACCTGGCAAGTCAGATGACAACATTTCAAGGACTSAATTTCATGGAGAGTTCCAGAAGAAAAACATGTTTTAAATCTCATAATTTCTTCGAAACTATTCAACAGTTTCTAGCAGTAAATTCCATTGACTTTACAAATGCTTGTTTGCAAATACTAGTGAGCATTCCTGACAGACAATTTTTGTGGTCATCTAAAATTTCTTCTGATTGCAACATACTTTATTTTCTTTCTTGCATCTTGGCTAAACAAGATCTGATAGGTGTATGTTTTATTTATAAAATTCTTTGAACTTAGCACAATTAATGCATTCCTTCAGCCAGCTGTCATAAATAACACCATTTCACTGAATGATTCAGTTTTCATTATGAAGGATGGCATCAGCTTTAGTGGAGTAATGCTAATGTGCTGACTCAAGGATCTTGACAAAGTACAGGAGGGAAACTACCCTGAACTTGGATTAGGAACTCTCTGTATACTAGAGAGGGGAAAATCAATATTCAGTGTCTTACTATCTTCTCGACTCTCTCAAAACTTATAAAAATTTTTGTTTGAGATTGAAACATGYTCTAGGTGTCCCTGCTTGACCAGAGGGTTGGCCTAGATCTCCAGAGGTCCCTTCCAACCTCAACCGTTCTGTGATTCTGTGTGAATTTATATTTTTGAAAGAAAATACCAAATGTTGGTCATATGTCTTGGTTCTGGTCCAAAGTCACTCCTGCTAAAATTAAATACCAAGCCTTTTAYGCTGTTTACCATTGTTCCTAGGTCATTCAGTCAGAGTCTTGATGAAAGTGTTTATAAGACCTTATCAAAGAAAATAAGGAAACAGCTGACCTTCATATGAACATAATGCAATTACAAACAAAATAATGCAAAACTTCTGTGGTTCCACATTCAGCAAATATGCCAGAACTATGCTGCTCAATAGAGAGAGCAGAATTACCCAAGAGAGCAGAATTTCCCAACATATTCCATGAGATATTATTATAAGATACTCAAAGCACTGATATTCMCAAAACTCTGTGCTGAATAAGGTTGAAGTACCTCCAAGCATGAAGACAGAATATTTCTATATGGTTGTCTCAAGAKGGCTTTGCTCATACCCTTAATCTTTCAAGGGTATGTGCTAAAATGCTAATCATTTCAAAGCAGCTAGTCATTATGTTTTATCCTGCTGTGATAGGAGGCTAGTTATAGATTTGTCATTAGATATTGATGACTAAAAACAGATTTACAACTCTACATGTGTTTAATCTCCCACATTCTCAGACTTTTAATATCCTAAGTGCAATGGTTTAGATTGGACAGGACAATATGTTCAGGTGGACTAGTCCAGGTAAAGAACCTGCCATTGCCCTCAAAGGAATCAATCAGTAACTGGCCTGCTTGAATATACGACTCCTACACAGCGGAAAAAGATGATGGTTTTCGAAGTGCCATTCAATTACATGAAGTTGTCTGCCATTGGACAAGCTTTGTTCCAGGGCTTAACTTTTCGTTGCCAAAGAAATGTTTCTTAGAACACTCCAGGCTTCTGTTTTACAACAATTTAATGAGTATTCTTCAGTTATTTGACTTCTTATTCTGTGACATATATTTGCATGTATTTCTGCTATATATTTTGGGTTTTTTTTCCTCAGTTATGCATCATAAAAGCCTCGGCCATATGTTGACAATCTATTTTTCTTTTAATTAACATGAGAATAACATTCTGATAATTAACAAATGATAATCTTTTTATTGTATAGTCTGTTTTAACTTGAGTTAATGCTGGATTCTTCCTTTGATCCCTGGAAATCTTTCAGCATTGCCTCTTCTGTTTTTCCTACAAAATTTTAAGGAGAATAATTTTATGCCACATTTATGTAAAGTATCATCTGTAAAAATTTGATGGTATATTGGAAGTATTCTGGCTTGTGTGTTCACTAAGGAATTCATGAAACTGTTTCTGTTGCACCAATGCAATCCTGAAAATAATTATTTTATTATCTAGACATTATGTAAACTTTATCTTGGATGTTATCTAAATATGCCATCTTTATTCCTTGATCCTAGTTTCCTTGTACAAAAGTATACATCCTAAACTAAAAATTAGGATGTTTCCAAATTGTTGAGAAAAGTGAAAACTATCAAATTGTTCTTTTTCTCGAGAACAACTACTCCGGGCTATTAGTTTATAGCTCTCCTTCAGCAGCTGAAGAATTTACAATGGCTATAAAGCTATTATACATGGCTTCCATGCATTAAAGCAGAAAAGAGAAGTGACTGCTTCTTTCAAGCTGCAGATTTACAAGCAGTGACCTAACATATCTATCACATTGTGTGTTTGTGCTCTGGAATACGAATGTATAGTCACTTCTAAGGCTGCAGATTATGCTTTGGCATAGACTAAAAGCTCACTTTTTCAATCAAAGAAAGATGATGGTGATATTGTGAATAAGATCTGGCTGGACGGAAATTTGGTATTCTAATTGTCTGACTCTTGGCAGTACTTAAAACTTCTCCATCCTCTGTCTTTTGTTTCTGTTCTGTATGCTTAGAGTGTGGACTATCAGGTCTGTTACTCTCTCTTAACATCAGAATATTGCAGATGTATTTTTCTGACTAATTTCACTTAGAAGGCAAATAATCAGAAGAGTACATGCATTTTTTTTTTAGTGTGGTTTGGAGGTCTGTCAGCACTGTTGGTCTTTTAATGACTACTTTATAAAAGTGTAATATTTGCTTCTATCAGGAATATTAATCTTGCTGAAGTATGCATTTTTATGTAATATTTTTTGTTATAAAGTAATTCTTCCAAACTCTTAGGAGTCAAGAATATACATGACAAATGTCTAACTCGGATGCATACTATTCCTTCATATAGCCAAAAGAAATCAGCATTTTTTTAAAAGATGAGTCCAGGAATAGCCGCCAGTGCTGAGATGAGTTTAGTTAAGTTCAAGGAGGGAAATTAAAACTATTTTCTGGTAMATTGCAGAAGGGACCTGAAACTGGAACTTTGTAGGTGCATTAGGATTAAGATATGGGGAAGAGAAGGCAGTAAAATGCAGTGAGTGGAAACAACCTTTGGCTATAGAGGAGGAGGAATGGCAGCAGAGACTCACTGCTGAAGCTTCATGGTATTGGAGAGAAGGAGCCAGGGGGATGAAGGAAATTAGGGAAGGAAGGAGCTAGACTGCCTGTAAGAAGGGATAAAGRCAATTTGTCAAAGAGCCAGTGATATAGCAGAAGCACCAGAAACATTACAGTAATGAGAGATAAAAAGCTAGAAAAGAGAACAAAACAAGCAAATGAAAAAAGAAATGTGAATGTGGAGAAATYGTAATCTTTAGGAGGGAATAGGATAAAAAGTGAGATAGAATAAAATGTTTCTGGAGAAATAGTCATGCAAGATGAGAAGTGGAGGAGAAAGGACTAGGACTACTGAGATAAGGGGTCAGAGAAGATTAGATTCAGAAGATCTGAAGTTGTGGCACAGGTGAAAAGGGGAAATAAGCTATGGAAAGGAAGAGCAAGAGCATTCTTCTACTTGTGATGACATACACTTTCAGAAATGCTGTAGACCCTGTCTGCTGTAGCCAGCTGTCATGACTTTAATTTTCTAATTCTCTCAGCATTTTTTTAAATACAACGTTTTTTGGGRAAAAAAAGCATATCTCAAAATTTCCTAGTAATTCTTTTGGTAATTATGGACTATGACAACAAATACTGCATGAGCTCCAATGGMAGAGAATTATGGGGTAAATATTAAGATGGTCTTTATAATGGCCATAAAATCTTATTTTTCTCCTTGCTATATTAAAAGTGGGAAGTTCCACCTTCTGTTATGCAATGAAGGCAGAAAACCAACCCCTGGATTCTTAGAGAAAAGCTGTCTCCCTTGTTTTATTTGACTTGGACCTGCGTTCAAAATGATTGGCTGCTCTAGGGAAGAACTTTCTCAATTTATCTTGTTGAAATTGTTTGTCATTATCTAAGAAAAAAAATTTTCTTTGGACTAGCTGACTAACACTGAAGAATGGATGTGAGTTTTGCTAAATTTCAGGAGAAAACACCAGATGATTATTATATTACTTTAAAATTACTTTTAAAAAAGCCATTTGTATTAAAAGGATGGGAGTCAAAAATAAAATTTTGTGATTTAATAAGGATCTTTCTAAATGGAGAAGTGCAAAATCTGAGGTTACTTCACTTTAATATCATAAATGGTTGTCAGCTTACACTCGTACATTACATCCTTCCACTCCTTTCCTTCTGGATGCATTTATTTTGCGTTATACACATCTTCTAAATTGTTACTGCTCTTTATTACTGCTCGTTTGGATGGATGAAGGCTTTGCTCCTGGGAACATAGCTAAATATATTTTTTTAACCTTAGTTACTGCAGTACTTTGTTTCAGATATGTCCTACTAATACCAATGATAATAAAGATTAATATTTAGATTCAGTGTTATCATAACTAGGGGAAGAGTTTTGTTAACATACTTGCAAGATTCAGGACATAAGGGATTTGATTCCTGGCCTCTGTATAGATTGCTTAAAAGATTGTGCACAAATCTTGTTATTGCTTCATGCACACTCTGTTCTTATTCTGCAAGATAAGGTTTATGAACTGCTTTTCCAGCTCCTCTCTGCCTGCTTGTGTACTTTGGCTRCAGTAGCTTTAGGGTGGGTTTATTTTACTGAATACATTGCATACAGTGATGGCTTGATTGTTCTTGCTGGACAGTTGCCTTTATTATTATATAAAAAAAAATCTTGTCATCTATGTCCCCATACCCCTTTCCTTGACTTCAATCTAGAATATGGGTGATGTGTTAAAAGTGTTTTATTTTCTTTACAGACTATAAAGCTGATGTGGTACTGCTCTGTTCAGAGACAAACTGAAATGCCTTTTCTCTCATTTCAGCCGCTGTGTGTGACTTTGAAGAAGGTAACTGTGGTTGGCTTGAAACTGTAAATGATGAATTTGACTGGGTAAGAAGTTCTAGTCATGCTCTTCCACCTGCTTTTCAAAAGCAAGCGCCTCTGCAGGATCACACCTACAATAAGTCTGAAGGTAAGTCAAATCAGGTCAAGGGACAAAGTAGTGTCGATATACCTGCCTTTCAATCAGATTTAAAGTGGAGGCTATGAACCCTTTTGCAATTCTTAGAAAAGATTGCTTTCTTCAGTCTAAAAGGTTATTTTCTGTTTTATTTCAATAGGTCATTTTATGTTTATTCTGAAAAACAGCAGCAATATTTCACAAGTTGCTCAGCTACGAAGCCCAAAGTTCAGCCAAACTGGATCAAACTGCACAGTGTCTTTCTGGTATGAAGGAATTTTGACTTAAATTTATGGWTCATCTCACATTGCTTCTTTTGGACAGAGACTGTGGTTATAGTTTGCAGTACTATACATCATCCTGCAAAATATTGCCACTTTTTATCCTTTATAAATATTCATTTTGCCCAGTAAACCAGAGCATTTGAAAAGGAGGACTGAAACATGGAACTGCTTTGTTGCCGTGCTTTGAGCAAATATATATTAAAGAATTATGTCTACATTTATGCAGAGAAATAGTCTGCATAGTCACAGTCACTTTGGATAAGTAAGTCTGAAAATGTTAGAGATTTTTTTTCTAGAATAGAAAAACATCCAAAAATCTAGAAACGGAATTGTTGAGGCTTCATTGGCAACCCAAAATGTGTACCTTCTTTAAATAGCAGCTCTGTTGCAATAATTGGAATGTCACTTCCAATTCTTTCCTTAGGTACATTAAAAAAGAGCCCTTTAAGTTACTAACAGGAATTCACAGAGATTGTGAAGAGACAAAGAAGGACAGAAAAAAATAAACCATAATTTTTGTACTGAGGTCAAAGTTGATACTACTGCTTAAATAAATCTATTATTTGGACTAACTATAGTGCAGTGTTCAGTGTAGTGTTTCTGAGTAGCAGAGTATGCTRTAGATAGATAGAGAAAATATATTTTTGTCAAAGATTCATGACTTGAAACTGGAGGAAATGTAATCTTACAATTTGTTGGATAATATATCTGGAAATTACAAATTGTATGAATTCCAGTTCTGTTTCCATTTATATGACTTTTGTTCAACCTTTGGACCCTCTGCTTGTTTATTTCAAAAAAATACATATGGTGTTATTAAATTCACTTACGTATTTATGATTTTAAAATGCTTTGAGATCATCCAAAAATACTGTAAAAATGTTACATGTTAACAATAACTACCACAGATCGGATTTTGTAAAAATACACAAAGTGTATTTTTACATTCAATGTGTTTTGTTTTTATTTCTTGAAACTTCAAGAAATTTATGTATTAAAATGTAAATTAATTTACATTTTTAAATTTATAAAAAACTTAATTAAAATTTTTAAAATTGAATACTGGAATTTATATTTTACATTAATTTTACACTAAGATTAAATGTATTAAATTTAATTAAGACATATATTAAAGCAAATGTTTATGCAATCATCTACTATAACTTAATGAAGTATAATTTTCTCATAATCTTAAATTCTCAAAATGAACTTTAGATTCATAACATAGCCTGCCCTACTATCAATATCAGTATACAAAATGTGGATAGACAGWGTAGTCTTCCTATATTTCTCAGAGCTATAACAGAAAATATATTGGTCCAGTCCATCACAACTTGCTGTGGTCCATTTTCTTAATTTCCAACCTCAACTTTGTTGTTTTCATTTTAGGTATTACAATTATGGATTTTCAGTTGGAGCAGCAGAGATGCAATTGCTTGTGGATGGGCTGGAGGAGCCTACTGTCCTTTGGCGGATATATTACAACCAGGGAAATCAATGGTTGAAGGCATTCATTCAGCTTGGACGCCTTCCACATCCTTTCCAATTATCACTTGACAAAATCAGTTTGGGTTTTTATGACGGCGTCTCAGCTATTGACGATATTACATTTGAAAATTGTGCTCTTCCATCACCAGCAATAAGCTGTGAAGGTCCTGATCGTTTCTGGTGCAGAGTCACAAAAGCATGTATTGACATTTTATTGGTGTGTGATCTTGTGGATAACTGTGGGGATGGATCAGATGAAGACAACTGTGGTGAGCACTTTGTTATTCCTTTCCTTATTTGAAAATCAAGAGTTGCTTGCCAAGTTCATCCATAGCATACACAAGCACAGAACTATTACAGTCTATCATTGTGGCAGCTGCTGCTGATGCAACTGAATAGAACTATTCATGAAATAGATTTTAAAAATTCTTAACTTACATAAGTATGATAAATTACAGATGAATTTAAGGGAGAGTGTCATTAATTTCCTTATTAAAATTAGCCATATTTCTTTTTTCTTATCTTTCAAAATAAACTCATGTATTACAAGTTCAGTCTCTGTGGGATAATCATAGTCTGCCAATTGGTTTTTGTTGAAGTGCTGTCTTTGATAGCACAGATGGAAGTAAAAGAAAGGGTGTATATGAACTGAGAGGAGTGTATGTCCTATCTGTATTATAGAAGATACTAGTCATCCTGGACCTAATTGCACCATTCCAAGGACGAACCCATAGGAACTGAACAAAGCTAAGGGTCATTTGCATTCTTGAACTTTACCTCGGAGTGCTGAAGAATGTTGTTTATTTTATTTTATTTTTTTCCTCAAGCATGCATTCCTCAATTTTAGGAATTCAATAATATAAAATTAATAGCTAACAGATGCTTTATCACATCCTGAGGTAACTAAATTATGCAAACTACAATGAGTTTCAGAAACATGGGAGACCTAATGTGCTTGAAGAGAATTGTGCTAGTATCTGCTGAATATCAGTTTAAACTTAATATGAATTAAAAGTAAAAGGCCAACTTTCTAGCCTGTCCCAATTTTCCCATTGTAATAGGAAGTAAAACAATAATCATTTTTGAGGTCCATAGTTAGAAAGTATAGGACTTGAATGGTTTTGCAGTTGAAGGCATGAAAACAAACAATAATTTCCTTAAGAAAAAGAGTAGGACTGGCCATTATGTCAGTTAGTCACTCTTTATGGAAGACAGATGGAAAGATGGAACCCAAGTTGTCCATCTCTAATACTCATTTTATTTTTTGCACTAGAAGTGATTGGTCTAATCAATATATTTTGGCTTGATATCAAGTAAAGTGAAATGTCATTATATAAGCCATGTCTCTTGAATTAGCTCTGAGAAAGCTGTTACATTAGTATTACTAGGGACAATAAGAATAGAGAAATTGATTTAAAATTTTATTTACGATGAAAAACAGCTTAGGTTAATCTATCACAAGACTATTTCCTTTGATTTATATCATGCAATGTACTGAAGTTTTAACTCTTTCAGTCATTTAAATTTCAGTTAAGGGACTTTACATGCTTTAATTATAAAAATACATGCTTTTATTTAATAACATGAATAGTCTAATGTGCTCTACAGTTCTGTTTATTCAAAAAGTTCATTATGTGCAGCTTACAAGATGTATATTAGAATAGGTACTAATTAATGAAAGATTTTTTTTTAATCCATTCAGTGTAAATCTGTTCTTCAAGTGGAAATTTTTGCAAGGGGAAAAAGAGGGTTTTTTCCCCTCCCTCTATAGTAGGAAGAAAGTGAATGAAAAAATACATTAAAGTAGTATCAATGTCTAATACTGCTTTCATTTGACAGTCTGTTCTGTTTACCTGTTCCATCTGTTCTGTTTACATGTTTCAGACCCTGACTTACAGTGCAACTTTGAAAATGGTCTGTGCAATTGGGAGCAGGACACAGAAGATGACTTCGACTGGATCAGAAAACAGGGTCCAACCCCCACACTGAATACAGGCCCATTCAAGGATCACACACTAGGCACGGTCAGGGGACACTACCTCTACATGGAATCCTCAGAGCCTTATGTATTCCAAAATAAAGCAGTTTTGGTTAGCCCTGTCTTCAACCCCTATGTCAATGAAACTTGCATTTTCCGCTTCCATTATCATATGTTTGGAAAGCAAGTTTATAAACTTTCAGTCTTACAGAGAACTGTGAGTAATACCAAGGGACAGCTGCTGTGGTATAAATTTGGAAATCAAGGCAACAGATGGATAAGACAGACTCTCCACATCAATAGCTCTAAGCCATTTCAGGTACGACCTTTCTGCATCATCAAACACTGCATAATCTAAAAACTATTAGTAATAGTCTAATTAAACTGACTTTGAAATACACGTGTAGTGTTTTGACTAAGTATGTTCCAAATGTTTAGTTTTGTGGAAGCTGCTTTTCCCTCTGAAAAAAAGGTGATTATAAACTTTAGAATATGAACCTGTGATAAATTAAGGAGGTATTATTTTGCTTTTCTAGAATTAAGCATAACTTACATAAAGCCAGAATAAATATCAGTTCAAAATATTTGGTTCTAGTCTGGGTCAGCAGTAAGTGTATCATCAAGATTCTTTGTAGAATCCCTGCTGTAATGCTAACAATGCCATCTCAGTTAGAGAATTATTAGTATGTGTGACTGTAAGGAATTTATTTGTATAACTACCCTTATAAATGTGCAAATAAAAGTATCACTCCTGTCCCTCATTGACAATATTAACTTGGCCTAGACTAGTACTATAATTTATTATTTGAATATTGATGTCAGTGATGTTTTCCATGTTGAAAGTAGTGTGAGGTTCTGATTTTTTGTCCTTTGGACTAGATATGTAATATAGTTGAGAGGAATGTGAAATTCATTTTCTTTTATCAAAGTGATTCTCTTCTCATTTATGTCAATTTGCAGTAATGTAGATCTATTGGTTTACATAGGGTTCATAATACTAAATATTTGTATGGAAGAAAAAAAAGTATGGAAAAATCTGAGGTGGATGAACAAGATTCTTTTAAGATAAAGCTTTAATATTTATTTTAATGCTTTTTTTTAGTAAGGAAGTTTCCCAAGTATATATATTTTTAAGGTGAATTTATGCTGTAGAAGGTCAAGGAAATTTGGGCAAAAGCTAGTCTCAGCACTTTACTGGGGTCATTTCTTTAATAACACAACCTCAGAACTTTTATTCTTATTTTTTTTAACATTGTAAGGAAAYATGTTCTTTATCAAAAGAATTATAAAATCAATTACAATATTTGCCTGTTTAACACTAAGATGGCTTATTTCGTAGCTGAAGCTATTTATACCATGTAAGTATTGTACAGCTTTTTGTTGTACTTGTCTAGCTGTGTTCATGAAATGCAAAGTTTTTATGCTCTTCTAATGTACTTTTGTTTTTCATAGTCAGATTTGAGTGGCATAAGGTGTGAAATATCATTTGATTGTTTTGAAGAAAAAGATCAGGACATGATGTTCAGTCTAGTGTGTTCCATTTTTCATGATAGAGTTTACTACCCTTCAAAACTGTTTTTTTGAAAAGTGGCATTTTGAAGAGAACAAGAGAATTTCTGCTGGTAATAAGTTGTCCAGGGTTAAACTGTTACCAAACTTCCTCTTAAGTGCAGAGTTTTTGGGATCCTTCTGGGACTAGATATTAGGGAGTGAGGGAGAATAGGAAGGAGCAAGGTCTTCACTCTCTATGATGATGTCTTCTCTAAAGCCTTAGTTGTCTGGTGAGATGTGTTCTAGTACAACATCTTAGAAGATACAACTTTTGGATTGCTATCAGCTCTTCCAGGATTTTCAGAGCTTCCTAGGCAATAGAGAACTTTAGACTTGAGACTGGAGATAGTCTAAGTCTTTGTAATGCAGACCTTTATTTCATTTTTCTTTTCTACATCTAGACATGAACATACAACCAAACCCTAAATAAAATAGATATTAACACATCTTCCTCTTCCCTCCCAGTATAATTGTAACTTGTTTACCATGTAGCAAGAAAGAATTATTATTTATGAATAGTAAACTCCCAAAGTTAAAGTTTTTTGATTTACTTACAAGCATGGAAAGCCAATGATGTAATCTTATAAACAATCTTACCGGTATACTGACTGTTAGCAAAAGGAGGTRTTCTCAGCTAAAAATATTGAAGCTGCCTTCAAGATACTTGAGGCCTTCTGGGAAGCCAAATCCCCCATTAGGATATTTGAAATGCACTGATACAAAACTTTAGGGACTTTAGTTGAACGCTCTGGCGTAAACCCAAAGGAAACAGTACATGAAGACTTACTTTGCTCACGTAAACTCCCTCTAAACTTTGTTCTCAGAATCTTATATTTCTCAGGAGACCATTGTTCCAGATGCCATCAAAATATGGCTGAAATTTAGTTCGTCTATGGCTGAAATTTAGTTCGTCTCTGTCAAATATTTTGCACTGAAGTATTAAATGTGACATCATTGAGTAAAATCAGAGGTTCTATGAGTAAAAAAGGAACTTTAGAGATAACATTGAAGTGACAAGACTGCAGTTCCCTGAGCCAAAATTAACTATATCTCTCAAATATTAATACTCACAAAGTGACAACACTGCTCTAAAATACACAAGCTTTTATGAAACCGGTAACTGTAGGATAGTGTCATCCAGAGCTTTCCTTTAAATTTAGAACTGTTATCACACAGAGGCTGTGCAGAAAGGAAAATTATTTAATCTAATCTCTTTTAAGAATCCAGTTTCCTAATGTAAGTAATGACTGTGCAGTTGTGTATTCTGGGCCTTTTAGGGAATCTTGAATTTAAATGGAGAGCTTCAGTTCTCATGTCCTTGGTAATGGGTTGTCTGTGTTACTAGATTTTGTGATTCCCCAGGTATGTGTGGGTGAAAGGAGTGGAATATTTATCTGTAGTGTTTCAGCAGCTATTATTTTCACAAACTTTCTACACACGTCACATAGATAATCAACCCATGTATTTTTGAAAATAGAGCAATAAGATATCCCCATGCATTCCTGGGAAAATGGGACGTTAAAAATACATTCCTTGTTAAAGATATCCTTTCTTATATATGGGACTCTGGTTTCAATAAAAGAAAACAGGTTGTTGATTGTAATAAGTACATTCTCTCTTTCCTTGATCTGAATTTATTTTAATCTCCCTGAGAAAACTCGTTAAATGTTCTTCCCTGTAAATGCATTTGAAAAGGTGATAAAATACCAATCTATCCCTGGTAGCCTCCTTATATTGCTGATAAATAGTGTTTGCTTTTATCTTCTTTCAATAGGCACAATAGCTAGCACAATTTCATCTTCATCTCAGAATAAACTGTGAAGATTTTAACATCTTAGATAAACATTGCTGTTTTAGTTTGCCCTCTTCATCCCAGTTTTTCAGCAAAAGTAAATTCTGAATTATGTGAAGAAGGACAAATTATATCAATTCTTCTGAGCAATACAGTCTCCTTCTCTTAGCCATGATATACATCAGATGCCTAAAGTATCCTTCATTGAATATCTAGGCACACATCAGAATTATCTTGCACAGATGCAAGTCTGTTTTGCTCTTATGAAATATATGGATGCACCTCTGTAAACAAAGATGATTACAAACTTACTGGGGAAGCTCTCAGTTTACCAAGGACTTTTGAAAGATGTTTACTGCATCTCTTATACCCATTTACAATCATTTTTCCATTGTACTTTTGATCTTTTCCCTGGTAATAATTTCCATGCAAGGGTCTAGTCATCATGGATTACCATTTAAGGGGCAACCTCTTTTTCTACTTTAACTATTTTACTCAGTTACTGGCACAATATTTAAATAGAAGTGATATAATTCTGTAAATATATTCTCTAACTCAACATGGAGGAATTGTCTTATGACTAAGTGTTACATAGATCAAACAACAGCCTGCCCATGAAGGCCCTGCTAAGCTTTTCTGCATGGACTTCTGTGAAGAAGTCTTTATGAAACACTAGGGATGAAAGCTTGATATACTCCAGGGGGAAAGGAACTGTGGTTCATAGCAGGACAGTCTGGCCTGTCCTAGTCCCTGATCTGAGACACAGTTTTTGAGACTGTAGGTAGGTTCCAGAATTGTGGCACAGTAAATCAGCCACAAGTCTGTAACTTTTCTCTTCTCTTCTCTTCTCTTCTCTTCTCTTCTCTTCTCTTCTCTTCTCTTCTCTTCTCTTCTCTTCTCTTCTCTTCTCTTCTCTTCTCTTCTC